AAACAGTGTTCACATTTTTTTGGGACACCTTGTATATAGGTGCTATAACATGCTAAGAAAATTATAGTCTTTGAGTTTCAATACCCTCTTCTTACATCAGCCTCTCAATTTTTACGAAATTCTGCCGTACTGCTACCAAACCCCTCTGTGGGACAGTAGGAACAAAATGGAAGCTATAATCGTGACTAGCACATGAAAGAACCCCCAAAACACAAATTTTCAAGAAAATTCATGATGTTGGGTTCGTAAAAATCACTACCGTAACTATCGTGCAATGCCAAAAACTGAAATAAATCATGTACGGATAATGAGGGCCTTCGATAACCCCTCTGGGAAATTTTTTCGGAGACTTGCTTTGAATGTTTTTCAAAAAGACTACCATTTTGGACAATACGACCGACGGGTGGGTCGTAATTTTGACGAAGCGAAGGCTTTGGTCCGAAACGGCAGTGATCTAAAAATCGGCCTTGTCATGAATGTGTCGAATGTGACTTCAGTGTGTGAGTCATCTTGCTGTGCTGTTCTTACTGAAAATAAGTCTCTGTCCTACAAATTTCTACTGGGACCAGTATCGTCACGACCATTGACATGAAGTGTTCATTGAATAACAGAGTTAATAATGCGAACTACGGAACAATTGAACAAATATTATGCCAATGATATACAGTGAGTAATATTTGTTAATACTATACAGTCTGCATGTACAAAATTAGCTATCATAAACAAAATATACATATAGTACACAGTTGAATAGTACTGTTTAAAAAACAGGAACTTTCCAAATCCTTTATCTGCCCACAGCAGCTCCGAGCAGTGACCCAACAATGGCACCTCTTATCGCTCCTCCTACAGGATCTGAACCAAATTGTTTCCTAGTAGATCAAAATGAAAAGAAAAATAAATGCTTACTGTACGGTCTCACGCCCATCATTCCCATACCCATCATACCCATTGGTCCCATACCGTACATTGGATACATCATACCGTATGGTCTCATCCCGATTCCGTACATTCCGGGATACATCATGAACTGTGGTCTAGCATCGACTTGAAGTGATGTGAGAAGAATAAGGAACAAGAATTGCAGAAGCATTGTGAATGAATATTAGGTGTAAATCTGAAATTTTGTGAAAATCAGCA